TATATATATATATATTCTCTCTCAGGCATGATATCACTTGTTAGGTGCACAGGTCAATGAAATTATTTTCAGCATTTCAAAGTTGTAATAGGAATCTTTTGTTTTGTCCATTTCTACATCTAATTGTGTACTCTAATTAATCGTTATCAGATGCATGGAAGGTCAAAATGGAGGTTTCTTTTCCAGCCTTTGTTTGACCTTTTAACATTCATTTCAATGCCTACACCAAAAGTCCACATTTTTCTACAGTTCCAATGGATAAAACAAGCATATGGATCTCTCTAGAGAGGTGGAAGTCCTCCAATTACACCTTCGCTTGATTTGTTCCGTTCAAGGAACGATTATTAACGTTTTATACATCCATTTGAATCCATATAATAATGATAAATATTTTATGCATCCACTTCGTCAAACATTTGTTCAAACACCCATCTCTTGATTTGACCAAATATCTTTAATTAAAGCAGACTAATCTTGTTGAGCGATCGGATTATCCTACTAATCTTCTATAAGAAAAAGTAAGTTCTCTAATTAATGGCATCTGATTGGTTCATTGGCGCTTTGTCCGAATCTTCGATGCATCATCCTCTCTTACGACCTATTACCCAATTAGTCATTTGACCTTCGTAACTCTGATTTTCTTGACGTAATTTCACTTTTCTTAGCCCGATGCTCGAACCCATGGCCCGAAGCTTTCTGCCGATATCTCGACCGATTGTCCGACTCGACGTCCAATTTTCTGCCTTTTGCTGATATATCGACCGATCCTCCGACTTGACGTTCAATCTTATGATATGTTCCACTCCGGTCCAACATGATTCTTTCTATTTTTAATTGTCTCTCCATGATGGAATCTTCCTACGTCACTCGAAGCATATATTAGATAAACACTATCGATTGGTTTCATGATCAAAATCCAAATTTAACAAGAAAAAAAGTGAGTTATCTAATTATTTTCAGAATAAACAAGAACATCATGAATCATAATCCAGTTTTTACATAATTAATTTTGTGGTGATTAGAACGGCTCATATTCTTTATACTATCGTCAATCGTTTGGGCAGCGAAGTCAAGACATTTCTTTGACACGATTCTCATATGTGACTTTTAGGCCATCCATTCGAATTGGATTCATGGGAATTAAATGAAACAAAGTGACGATGTTGGTGAAAGAAACAGGTCATTCTACAAGGACGACAAATAAATGTACAGCACGCGACTTGCTTCTGTGACTCGACCACTAGGAATAATTGATCATGAGGAGGCTCTCCGGGGCCGCCTTCCTTCTCTACCTCCTCATCGCTCTCCTCGGCCCTTCCAATGGAGCTGACACCTTGACTCTTGACCACCCCCTCGCTGACGGCGAGGAACCCTTGATCTCGGAGGGCGGCAGCTTCACGTTGGGCTTCTTTAGCCCCACTGGTTCTGACAGCCGCTATATCGGGATATGGTACAAGAAGATCTCAGTCCGAACGGTGGTGTGGGTCGCCAATCGCCAGCGGCCTGTCACCGGCAACCATGGAAGCCTATCCGTGGCGGCCAACGGAACGCTCGTCATCACCGGCGAGAACTCGACCGTCGTCTGGTCCTCACCGTCGTTCGCGCTTTCGAACCCGGTGGCGCAGCTCCTCGACGATGGGAACTTTGTCGTCAGGGAGGCGGATGGTAATCCTAGTGATCCCAACAGCTTTGCGTGGCAGAGCTTCGACTACCCGACCGACACGCTCCTGCCGGGCATGAAGCTTGGGTGGAATCTGACGACCGGTTTCAACCGCACACTCACGTCGTGGGCGAGCGCCAGCGACCCGGCGCCGGGCGAGTACACCTTCGGCATCGATCTGCGCGGCGATCCCCAGATCTTTGAATGGTCAGGGACGCGTAAGGTGTGGCGCGCTGGCCCATGGAACGGGCTGCGGTTCACCGGCGTCCCACAGATGACGTCCTACAACATGCTCTCGTTGCAGTTCTTCGTCGACGCCACCCAGGTCGTCTACGTCTTCTACATGATCGACCCTTCCTTCGTCTCCAGGCTGGTCGTGAACCAGTCCGGCACCCTGCAGAGGCTGGTGTGGGTCAACGACAGCAAGTTCTGGAACGCCTTCTGGTACGCCCCAATGGACGCATGCGACACCATCTTCCCGTGCGGCCCCAACGCCGTCTGCGACACCAGCAGGTCGCCGCAGTGCGGCTGCCCGCAGGGGTTCCAGCCGAAGAATCCGACCAACTGGGGATTCAGGGACGGCTCCGACGGGTGCGTGAGGAAGACGGAGGTGGACTGCCGGAACGGAA